GCTGCTCCCTGTCTGTCTGATTGTCACCCTCGTGTTTCTCCTCAGGTGTTTTCAGTTTAGTGATTAGTTTGCTGTCCTGTCTCAGTCTGGTGTTCGATCATTGTGCTGCTTCCCTCAGCCAGTGAGTGTCTTCTCGTGTTCATGTTCCTTGTGCCTTTTTCTCGAGTCTGTAAGTTTTTTGCTGACATATCAGCCCTCCTTTTGTTTTATTAAAATATTTGTTTTTTTTTGAACTTTGGATCCTGCCTGTGCCCTGGGTCATTCTACACCAAACCTCACACCGACAGGAATCAGAAATTGCCTGTTTTCACTATAAAACAATTGCAACAGACTAATAACTAAAGTTACAATGCAGACAGGAAACATCTACGTATGTGCAATTACAGCAGAGTTTTTTAAGGTTTAAAATGGATAATAACAGAGCAGCTGATTGCTCCAACTATTAATAATAAGTAAGTAGTAGTGCAAATGATTGTTCAGTTGAGTAATTACAATGAATGGTAACTGTACAAATGATTGTGCAGACAGCAGGTGTGTAAACACTTATTGTGATTTTTGGGCGTGGTGCTGGTTATAAAGTCTGACAGCTGCAGGGAGGAAGGATCTGCAATAACGCTCCTTTGTGCACCTCGGATTTATCAGTCTGTCACTGAAGGGGCTCTCCAGTTCAGCCACAGCTTCATGGGGTGGGAGACGTTGTTCATCAACAATGTTATTTTAGTCAGAGTTCTTCTGTCTCTCACCACCTGCACTGTGTCGAGGGGGCATCCCAGCACAGAGCTGGCCTTCCTGCTTAGTTTATCTAATTGATTGATTGATCGATTGAAAATATTCGGCCATGTCTGTTAGCAAAATATAACATGATTTACTGGACTGCAATGATCCCTCAGAAAAAAAAGTTAGATGAACATCAACAACTGATAGACCATTTGGGTTTGCTTTAAAAAACAAACATATATCTGTGAATGATATGCAGTGACCTTTTTAGTGAAACTAATGTGTATAAAATTAGACACGTGCTCCAAATACATTCAGAGTTTTTYTCTGGTAGGATCTATTAAAGGTCAGCTCTAGACTTTTGCTCTGGTCTTTGCTTATTTCTGTTGTTTCATTTTAATTGGCCCTTCCTGTCTCTTCACCACCACCGCCACCTTGTGCACAACAGCAAACACTGCAGCGTCTCAAGAAGAGCTTCGCTGACGTCAACACGCTGACTGACGTCGTTGAGCTCCTCGCGCTGTCAGTGGACGAGAGTGGCTGTGGTTCAGTGCTGCGTGGAAGTTAGCAAGCCAAGTATTCACTGCAAAATCCACAGATTTGTTCAGGTATGTTGTGTAACTAATGCAGATATTTCGTTTAATTAATTTATTCAGACTTGAAAGTCGCCTTAACTCCAAGCAGACTTTTATAAAACTGTGTTCAAGGTAAGTTAGGAATGTGCAGAGGAGCTAACTGCTAACCCCTGCATCAATGCCCTGCACGCCCCCTAAGAAGTTACACACAAAACTGCTTTCTGTTTCTGTCTTGTTTTAGTTCTGACCACTTCTTATTTGTGTTTATTAGTTTAAAGGGATTTGAGTCATACTTTAAAGATTCAGACAACTCTTTGTGCACTTCGGCTGACATAAAATGCGTCTAAAAAGATGTGTTATTGTGCAGTTTTCTGTTGTAGTTTATCAGATAATTTAAGGTTTTACTGAAGGTTAACTACAGAATAGGAACATTATGCAAAACTGGCTGTTTTATAATAATATTTACTTTTGTTCATACTTTAATGTAAAACTACATTTGTGCAGCAAAGATCAGTGGAAGAAGAGCCCGAGTTTGGCCAAAAAAAATTAAAATAAAATAAAGTAGTAGTCTGAGAAGCTAGTTCAGGACATTCAGCTGATAAAACCAAGAAATGAATGATTAACAGTCTTCTGCAGAACCTGAAGAGGTCACTGAATCAGGTGGGTTGGAGAAGAGAAATGGTTGAAACATAGTGGTCCACCAGGACTGGACCCCCCTGGCCTATGGTTTTATGTATCAGAACATAATCAATCTTTACTACACCAGTCCTGTAAATTTATTTAGTTTCAACCTCAAGTGTAGAAAAACACAACAGATTGTACCACGTTATTAAATCTGTGACAAAGTCCATCAGATTGAAGAGTTTCAGCATCAACCAGGTTCAYCACCTGATGGTCCAGTTTGTTCAGGTTCAGGAGGTTCTGCATCTCCCCAGCAGGTATGGGTCATTTAGTGGGTTTGTAAAAAGTCAAAACCACTGTTTTTCTGTTCCTACAGTTTAACACACACACACACACACATATATATATGTGTGTGTG